CGCTGCTTCGGCTCCACCTATTGAACCTGCAAACAACAATTGAAGAGCTCCGAAGAGACGGCGCGGTTGCGAACAAAAACAGCGCACGGGGGCGGGGGGAGCGTATTTAAGGTAGAACCTGGAATCCTGAGCCAGCCGGCTTGGCAGAGCGCTCAGGATGGGCAGAATTGGCCAGTCGGCTTACGGAGCCATCAGTCATTTATGTCCACAAAGGCCGAGTCTTCCTAAAACGTTTGAAAGGGTGGGGCCTGGGAACACTGATGGAATTTGCATTTAAACTGGATAAGCTGTTTATTTTCTGGCCTTTTCAGGAGACATAGAAAAAAGGTGGAACTGGTAAAGATTGTAAAGAAAGTTTGTTTCGGACCTGATTATTTCCAACTAGTTCCGCTCAATGAGATGCAACCTGTCCTCCATGATGAACGTTACTGAAGATCGTCTGTGATAAACCAGTAACTCCCTAACTGGTCTCACTAATTTCCTCCATCCCCCGATCCGATCAGTTCGCTTCCTCTACCTCTTTCCTTCCCTTTCCATATTTACACTTAGTTAATATTTACACATGGTTAGTTTAATGATTTAACCTCTTAAGGAGGTCTAATGGCACAACTTCTCTGTCCCTCTTGCAGAGTCAGCGATTCAGTAGGCGTCTACTCCGAAGTCAGTACTACTGATTTTAATTGGTCTCAGGCCAGATGCAGGATGGCAGCCTGAAACCCTACTTAAAATTTTTAATTAATAAATACATAAAACACTGGTGCAGTAAAGAAGTAGGTACAACACAAGGGTGTGTTTGAACAAACTGAGTTGTTTGTTTGGAACATCTGCTAATATTAGAGAAGATTCAGGGGTGCTCTCCATTCCTTCAGTATTCCTCTAGAATAGAATTCCTCTATTCCAAGATAGAAGCAGCTGAATCTAGCTGCTGGTAAGAAGGTAGATGGTCCTTCCATTATCCTCAGCAGCTGCCTGTAAGCCTGATGGAAAAGGTGTGGTGCGGGGCAGAATCACCTCTTCAGTGCTGTTAATGTTTTACCTTGTATCCAGTGCAGAATGAACATTGGATCAGAATTGGCACAGTGTAAATCTGCAAGTACAGATATTATCTAAAATCTCATGGTGGAAAAGAAAGGGGGGAGTAATGGGTCTAGTTTTATCTGTATGCATTAATGAAAGCAAATAATAGAGAAAATTGTAGCATACGTTTAAGGTCAGAATACACAGCAGTTCAAATGTATCAGCCTAAATATGGAGTATCATTATGGGTAATTGGGTTACCCGTTTTTATTCTTTTCAAGCCAAACAATTATTGGAAAGTGTAAAGCAGCTTGGGACAGTTGGTGAATAGCTTTCTGAAAACAGGACCCAATTTGATTTGGCAAAGAAGCTGGCAAAGGAAAGATTGAATTAAAAAATGGGCAGGATTTGGCCAAGGGCTATGGAGAAAAACATTCCAGATAAAATTCCGCCATGCCTTGCTATAAGAGAGGCAGTTGAGCAGTGATTCAAGATACTGCCAGCTATGCCATTCTTAACCCCCCATGATCATGTGACTCAGATGGTGCCTATGTGACCCACTCTGTGCTTCCCTATGCACACATACGCAGATGCAATTTATGTCCACCCACAATACACAGGAAACAGGCATGCACCCATCCTGATAAAACCCTCACAGACATGTGTATACAAACAGGAAACATGTATACATGCAACCTGATTCCTTCATAGATGCATTACCTTGTTACACAAAAGTAACCACTGCTTCCTTCTTGTTCAAACTGAATTGCTTATGAAGTTATACAAAATTATACATCTGTATAACGAAGTTGTAGATTAGCAAATTTTGGCTTTTACTCAACAAGCCGGTAGGCCAGTATTTGGCTGCACCGAACTCCTTCCCTTTTTCAGTAATGTGATATCAGTAGATAAATTCAAGTTATTGGATACACATTCCAGGTGATCAAGCCAGGTGAACAGTGTCAAGGACTAGACAGGCCTCACCAATTGATATTTGTTTTAATTTAATTGTTAGAGATCACTGGAGAAATCTTGATTTCCATCTGTTCTGTTAACTATGCCAATCAAATATAAGGTCCAGATTTCCTCTAAAGGCAATCAATAGCTTAAGTTGCTATAAACATAGCAGGAAAATATACTCCCTATGTATTTGCAGGTATGTGTCACTTAAGCATACTATCCTGTGATTGACAGGCTAGTATTTGCCAAAAGTGAATAATAGCAGAATAATAATAGCAGAACAATAATGAATTCATTATCCATATTAAAAAATAATTAGCTGTAAAGGATTAATATATAACTTTTATCACACAATACTTGCCATTATCCAGTTGTATCATTAATTTTAGAAGAAGAAATATCAGTGACCTTTCCACTTTTTAAAGCCTATTTATACACCTTCAAATAGCTTCTAATTTCTTTGTTAAGGATAAATTTTATGCTTAATGTTAGCCGCATCACATCACATGCTGAGTGGACTATATGAATTTTTTTTTAATTATTAAATTTACATGCCACCCCTCTAAATTAAAATAAATAAACAAAGAAATAAAATGTTAATTCCTAAAATTTTCAGAAGCAGATCCTGCCTGAGCTAACCAAACCCAAGAGTTTGCTCCAAAAAAACATAATCAGGAGTCAATTTTCAATATTAGCTTTAGTTCCAATTCCACCTTAACTATAGATGGAAGTTCTCTTTAAAATAATTCTGTGTTCTTTCCCCATGCACTGTACTAAGGAATGAAGTATATATAAAAACAGTCTGAGATTTTGACACTTTGCATAATCTTCTTTCTCCTTCAGTAACAAAAAAGGCATTGTATTCAATTAGACTCACAGCAGGTGGAAACCCCAATTAGTGTATCCATTCTCTTGGCTTTCTTTTTTCCTACACCCACACACCACCTTTTAAAAAATACTGAAGAGGAAAATCTGAAACATTTCACAATTCAAAGCAAATTAACTGTCTGATCTCCAGATCAAAACATTAGCTGCTCAACACCCATGTTTTCTTTTTCATATGTTGGGGAAATGGAAACTGATTATTTTTGGCTGGCTTCAGAATTTCAGAATAGGAAACCAAATCTATAAAAATGCCTAAACTAAGCTTTTCTTGTATGCTATCTCTTTTATACTGACAAAACTATTCTAAAACGATATACGTATTGCTCTACTATTTTGTAATTAATATCTGAATAGGAATGATGACAGATAATTCAGCAAAGCAATAAATAAAATTAATCCATATAGAATAACATATTCAGTATTTCCCACTTATTTAAGAAGTAGATTTCGTATAAAATCTCACAAATTCTTTTGTCAAATAAATCATTTCTAATAAATTAGCGTTTTGTTCTGTATCTTGATATCTGTGTAGCTTTTGCTTTCCCAGAGAAGTAGACAGAAAGTAGGAATTCTTGTATGGGATAGGGTTTAGGATCTGAGTGTAGTTTATGCGCCTTCTGGGATGCCTGTCTAATGATAGCCTGTCTAATCTTAGTTTAATGCCCTGGGTAATACTTGGGTCAGAACCTTAGTAGTGTCCTGGCTGTACTGAGAAATTGAAAAACATTCTAGAAGAAGGCAAGGCCAAGCCACACTACCAATCAAACTGCTTGGATGCAGCCATCAAGAGCTGAGGTCAACTTTAATCTTTCAGTACCTGATCTTAGTTGATGCTTTGGATGATACATAGGATCCTTGACCTGTTATGTTCCATTGAAGTCTCTGAAGTTTTATACTGAATACAAGACAAAAGGATTTACTTAGTGAAGTGAGAGCCTAAAAAACATGTAGGAGTAAAATACAGCTAGTCCCCAGTTTATGAGTGAGTTCTGTTCCCAAGGTCTGTCCTTAAGATGATTTTGTACATAAGCCGGAACAGTATTATTGTATAACACCATATAAATAGTATTGTGTAATGAAATCAAACCATTGCGTATTTAACTCGAATCATTTTGTATTTAACTCGAATTTTGCTACAATAGGCTCCATTCTTAACTATGGGTCATCTGTTATCCAGGAGTTCTTAACCCAGGGACTACCTGTAGTTGCTTTTGACATTTCCTAAAAAAAAAAAAAAGTAAATTTACAATTTAACTCATCAATTCCTTGTAGCTCATCAATACCTGCAGAACCACAGGTTGCACAGCCATGCATAAGACTAAGAGAGCAGATGGGTTTCCATATGAAATTTTTACCACTCAACCATTCTGCCTTACAACAGAATTTAACTTGGTCCAAATGATGAAGTCTTCTGTTTATAACCCTCCTTTGTTTCTTATTCTTTTCTTATTTCTTTTCATTAGTTTTAAAAAAAAAGTTAAAGGAAAATAGGAATACAGTAGCTGCAAAAGATGGAAGAGGCCTTCAGGGTTTTAACATAAGAAAGAAAAGAAATAAGTAGATAAAAGAAAAATAGGTGAAAAAATTAGGGATTATTAGGACACTCCTTGAAAACATCCATGATAGATTGATACCAATAAAAGCATAATGTTCAAATTAAAATGAATGTATTTTCTGGCTGCTGTTTCTGAGTCTGTTTGTTGCAGCATCTTATAGCCTATTTACTTGATTCTAGAACTTAAAGAACATTCCAATACAATATTTCATTGACTACAGGAGCATACCTGTGCACATACAGGTAGTCCTTGGTTAACCATTATTTGTTCAATGACTGTTCAGAATTATGACGGCACTGAACGAGGAGACTTATGGCTGGTCCTCAAAGTTGCGGCCATCACAGCATCCCCATTGTCATGTGATTGCAATCTGGGTGCTTGCATCCAGCTTGCAATTACAAGGGTTACAGCATCCCACGGTCACATGACTACCATTTGCAACCTTCACTGCTGGCTTCTGACAAGCAAAGTCAGTGGGGAAGCTGGCAGGAAGTTGCAAATGGTGATCATGTGACATTGCGCTTAATGACCATGCAGAATTTGCTTAATGACCACAATGAACTGCTGCAACTGCCATCGTAAATTGGTGTGGTCACATGACGTTGCACTTTACGACCATGTTACTTACTGATGGAGTTCCCAGTCCCACTTACCATTGTTAACCAAGGACTACCTGTATTTTTCCATGCAAAGTATAGCCATAAATGGCAGCATAGAAGTGTTTGCCAATTTTTTTTTTCTTTGTATAAAATTCTGCTTCCATTTTCTCTGCCTATATAAGTAAGCCACTATGACATCTCCTAGGATCCAGCACTAGTTCCAACAACTCAGAGAAGTCCAGAAGGGACTAAAAGATAAGGCCTTTATATCACTATCCTATCAGTATGCTGTTATCAGAAATAGATACTACTGAATTTAGTGAGGCTTACTCCTAGATGAGTGTAAGGGCAACAGAATTGCAGTGGTGGTAACTCAGAATGTGACCAAATAATATTTTCATTGTCTTTGACTAGTCAAATACTCTTTCCCACTTATCTTAACCCTTCCTGATACAGAGATAAATCAGAATACATCATTCTGTATCATTATCTCTCAGGAAGAAACACTGTTGCTTTTTGTTGTTTGGTTGTCTTTTAGTTTATGGGAGGACAATTTGATCTGTTCTGTTCTGTTCTGTTCTTGTTTTGTTTTTGCTTTAACCTTTCTTTGTGCTCTCTTTTGGATATGATTGATGGGGCTTTGGTGAGGCTGTTTTGTCCATTTTATGACAGCACCTATCAACTTCTTAATGCTATTCCTAGGTCTCATTCGTAGTTAAGGAGGATGGGATTCTTGGCAGGGGCAAGGATCTCTGCTCTTTTATTCTAGTGGGTTCCAGTGATTTGGCACATTGATTTTAAATGTATTTCCAAAGAGAGGACTTCTGGTCATTCCTGATTTTTTCAAAAGACTGGACATGGTTTAAATCTCAGAGCAGACAGCTGTAAAGGAGCAAATATATCCACAGCATTTAGCAGAGCAAGACTGCAGTGTTGCTGCAGTTCACAGAAAGAACAAGTATTTTGTCTTTTAGACTCAGGCTCTTTAGACCTGCTTTCTCTTTATGTTCCAAATCAGTTCTGAAGTACATTCATTATTTTTGTTCGGAGCGCTTTCTTTTAAGTCGATGCCAAGAACATACTTAAATATCTTGCTGATTTATGGAGTTTATTGAAATCAGAAAGAGAGGTACTATAAGAATGATAACTGCCATTTTCGTGAATAATAAGGAATACTGCAAAGTTATATGATAGAAAAAATAAAAACTGAGTCCTGCTGAGAACAGTTTTTAGGGCAAGCTGACAACTTCACCATACAAAGCTGAATTTTAGTACTAGCCTCATCCCATTCTTAATCTGCATCAACAGCTGATGTAAATTGTTATCCTGTCCATGAGTTGGACTATGAAAATTAATTGTCTATGGGTTAATTCTTTTAAAAAAAATGTTAAAAACCACATCTACTCTGGTAGCAGAAATTGTAAAATTACTTTGAGACAGTCTTTTTTAAAAAAAGAAGAAAAACTTGCCTGGTACTGCTTTGCAGATACACATTTATATCTACTCCAATGGAAATTTAATCAATACATGAATGATTCATTAAGACAGAAATAACTTTCAGTGTCACTCATGAGCTGAACTTTTTATTTAGTTATTCTGGTCATATTTCAATTTAGTGTAAGAATATTTACAAAGAGCTTGAAAAATATATCCATGCCTGCTTTTATTCACATTTTCTTAGTCCTGTTTGCCCTCCTATGAATGGCAAAACATTTTCTGTACTTAGGATTTTAATCTTATTGAGAAAAGAGATAGTTGTTGATAAATGCAAAGAAATGTCATAATTTTCAAAGCCACACATTTTATTCCTT